CACTACTAGTAGAGATCAAACTGGAAATGCCAGAGATGGAATAGGCACGATTGATTTATCTGTACACTGTAAACAAAGGGATTAATATGAACAACACATCACACACAAAAAAATAGTCATCAATAGCATAAGGAAAAGTAATAGCCCATGATCTGTATTAGAATAATCAAGTTACAAAGTCCTGAACATTTGCACAAGCTTCACGTCATTTACATGGTCTAGAGATGTGTGAACTCTACAATTCTTATACGCCTCCATTCCTTTGGATTACATAGCTATGAGTCTATGACTTTTTTGGATCATACAATTCGGAGAATTAGAATATTCACGAGTAGTTTAAATTTACATTTTGGTTAGTTTTGGTATATCAATTAAACTAAAGAGAGAGAGTGAGAAATGAGAGCATAACTAACTCACTATATGGTACCAGTTGAATTGACCATGGCTATCACAACCTCTTCGGTCGCGGTTTTTTCGTCCTCGAACTAGAATCCATTATACTTCTTGAACTTTTTGGATTGGTTTGAGTGATCTTCTCTCTCAGCTCCTTTGTGAAGATACATCTTCAAGATCACAATTTAAATTGTAACATTGTTTTCTTTCTTCTAGATGTAACGCAATCAATCATTTTGCATTGAAAAAAATATAGCAAGCTTGCAAAATATACAATCTATATTGTTTTCAAAAATATTCAAATTGAAGATTAAATGTGTTTTAAATCACTATACATATTTACCTTTTTCATTAAAAGAATTAGAACAAAATAGTTTTTGTATTACAACAACTTTTAAAACTAAACCAAAGTTTTTACAGACAAATTTTCCGAAAATTTTATATGGATTTACTTCTATAGTAAAGTTATTCCATTTTTTTAGAGGTTAACATTGAGTTATCTCATTTACATATTCATCTTTAGTCGTCGTGGAATATTTAATTTATAAAAAAAGGAAAAATTTATGGATATTATCTAAGTTTCTGTTTATGATCACGAATGTTGAAAGTCTTATAGAATAGTATACACGTCCCATTTTAATATTATTTACAAAATAATATTCCTTCCGTTTCACTATTTCAAAATTTTAATATGAATTTACTTCCATAACTAAGTTATTCCACTTTTTGTTTGAGTCAAAATGAAATTATCTCATTTACATATTTATCTTTAGTCGTCGTAGGATATTTAATTCATAAAAATTTGGTAAAATTTTATGGATATTATCTAAATTTCGGTTTAATATTGACTACAAAATTATATTCTTTCCGTTTTCCTATTCCAAAATTTTAATATGAATTTACTTCTATAATTAAGTTACTCTATCTTTTTTTTATAGTCAAAATGGAGTTATCTCATTTACAACTATTTCTAGTTGTTGTTTACGCGGACAATATAATTGGTAAGAAATTTCGGTAAAAAATAATTTGAATTTCTTGACTTTGAATGTTTTATGAAAAAAATACACTTCCTTACTTAAAAAAAAAATATTAAATTTCTTTTCATTTGCTACAAAATACTATTAATCTACTTAACAAAACCAAAATAAAATTACCCCCCTAATTTCGTATTTTATAACACCAAAAGCTGATTTTAGACGGGTCGGAAAACCAAACAGAGTGTACAACGTTACAATCGCCTCCCTAA